CTCCCCCCGGTCCCTACCGACCTCCAACCAAGCGCTGTTGGGTTTATTTGCCTTCGAAACAGAAAGAAAGCCGATACGCATTTCTACTCCCGCGACTCCCGCCCAACACGGGAGAAAATTGGCAGATTTCAATTTGTTGAGCCGCGTGAAGAAGCGGCGCGCTGAGAAGTCTCTCGCTACTCTACACGGTTTCATAGCAGAGAGCCGAGAGCAGAACAGATTCTGTTCTCAAAGACAATCCGAGTAAGAAGAGCAGCAGCTGACAAGAGGGGGAACAGGATACACAAAACATTATAGAGTAAAGAGAGAGAGAGAGAGAGAGAGAGAGAGAGAGAGAGAGAGAGAGAGAGAGAGAGAGAGAGAGAGAGAGAGAGAGAGGGGGGAAAAATAGGGACGAGGCAAGAGTGAGAGCGAGGTAGAAGGAGAGAAGGGGGGCGGGTATAAAAATTGCGTGTGGGGATAGGTAGTTGGGTTGGGATGAGACGTTGCGGCTCGGGGGAGCGGCGGCGTGCCGCCCGCTCAAAGGGAAAGAGTATTGACAGTAAAAAGAAATTGGACGAAAAGCCAAGTTACGTCGTAAATATGCAACATGATGGTAAGCATGCAGGACGTCGCAGTAAACTCGACGCCGGAGCTGAGGAGGTAGTGGGGGGGGGGGGGAGAACTCTGTCAAGCTTGTATACACCTTACCGCGCGCACCGGGACCAGAGACGAGTGAGGGGTTTGCTGGTTCTTGCTTGGTTTCAAACCGGTGAGAAAATAGGAGAGACGGAGCAGCAGCAGCAGCTCGTCGGGACCGAGGGAACGCTCGCTCGCAGCAGACGACGGGTCAAGGGGGGTAAACGGAGTCCGACCACTCTCGAATAAATAAAGTGGCCTGAAGCAGCGCGTCCTGATCTGCTGGTACCTCCCGGGGGATCCTGGCAGCTCGGGCTGGCCCGGAGGGCTGGCCTCATCTATGCTGTGAGCGCGTGCAGGGCTGGGGCTGGGAGAGTCGGAGGGGCGCTGGGGAGAGCGCCACAGACAGAGACCCGATGGCCTGAACAACGTGCGCACGCCTGATCTCTTTCCATCCGCCTCATCTCTATAAAACCGTCATTCATCGAAGAGGGAGAGAGGGGGAGAAGGGCGGTAAGGGGACGCACGGGGAGGGGAGCAGTTAGGCAGAGGAGGGTCGGCCCTTTACTTTTTTTCCCTTCTGTTTCTCGTCTTTGAAGTTTCCTCTGCTCTCCCCCGCCAAAGTTTTCCACGAGCTCTCTTCTTGCCATGGGGCGCCCCGCGGCTCCGCGCGACCAAACAAGCGCGCATGCAACTTGAGTCGACTCGCCGAGGCCGGGGCGGGCCGAGGCCTGTGTCTCTTCGTGTGTCCCATTTGCCGTTGTTCATACGGGATGGGAGAAAAAATATATAAAAGGAACAATCACACAGAAACGATGGGGATAGCAAGGTCATTCGTCAGTACTTTTGAGAGTGATTTTTCGGAATAGCCAAGTGTTTTTAAATTAATTTCGATCAGGATAGGCTGCAGGTTGTCACGGTGACCTCCCCCCACCTCCCCATCGCACCCCCAGCCCGACTACGCTCCCTGTAGAGGGGGCGGAGGCTCTGGTTCTCCTCAAGCACTTCGCCGCCAAAGACGCCCTTTCTGAAATTAATTAATTAAATTCTTTGACCGCCGGAAATTGTCACTTTCGTAAAGTAGTGTGTTTTTAAAAGAAGTGCGAAAATCTTATTCCTGCCGCCACACCTTTCTTTTTAATCATCTCATAACTTTATTTTTCGACGCCTCCCCCCCCCCCCCTTCTAACTCTCTCTCCCTCTCTCTCTCTCTATCTGCACCCCTCGCTTTCTTGTCCGTCTCTCGTAACTGGCACGTTGCGTGGCGAGTTGGTTACGTAAACGAATGCTAACGCGTTGTCGCCTTTGACTCCAAATGAAGGCGGCAACACAACGAGGAAACAATAAGAGCAAATAAAATAAAACGGCAAGATGGACAGGGAAGAAACAAACGTTGGACGTCCCACGTCGACGGTAGTATACTAGCAGAGGAGCCCCATAGAACAGGTACATAGCGGATGCAATTTTCTGATGTGCGCCAGAGCTCTAAGCTCCCAGAGGGCCATCAGCAGCGGGGGGAGCTGGGCGACGTCCGTCGCTGCGGAGGGGTATTAGGCCCCTGTACCTCCCGGGTACTCTCGCCGGCGAGCTTCCGCCGCTCAGCTGCAGCGGTCAGGTCCCCGG